ATAAAAAGATATTAATTTTTTTCTCATCTACAATATCAGATTCAAATTTAAATATTTATTCTTTTTTTCTATATATATCAAGTATTTTATTATTTTTTTTATTCTAAGGACATGTCAGTTATGCAAGAAGCCCATATGTGTAATCGAATCCTAATCTAATGATATGTGGAATTCTTTTCAGCTAACATTGGAGTCGCATTTCCTGGACGATCTCGGTTTGGATTCTCTGGACCATGTGGAAATTATAATGGCGATAGAAGATGAATTTGGCTTCGAAATTCCAGACATGGATGCGGAGAGGCTACTAAAACCTAAGGATATAGTGCGCTATGTCGCGGATAAAGAGGATATATACGAATAACATGCCTTGTGTTATTTATATCTAAGCGTTTAGTCAACATCCGCCGTTGTTTCGACCGGAAATAACGGGTCACAGCATCTTACTTTGCTGCCACCATTGTTTTTTTCTGTATATAGAATAATCATCATTTATGTGAATAAAAGCTAAGCGAATTGTTAGATCGGATTTCTCTTCTATTAGTACCCCAAAAAATTTGTAACTTATAAGAAATATATACATACAGATATACATATTTATGATAACTGCGATTTAATACCGCATCTTGACGCTATAGTTTTTTTTTTACATTGTAATAAAATTATATATATTCCTTATACGCAAAATTCTGTGTTATTAAGGCTGCGAGTAATTGATGATTGTGATTACATTTTTTTAGAATAAAATATAGTTTTTCGTTATTTTTTCTTTTGTTAAAATTATATTTATTGTAATGTAATTGGAATAATAATTCAAAACAAACGATTCTATATTATTTTAATAAATTTAACAAGTATAGTATATTAAATTTGTATTTTTTCTTACAATTGGTTATATTTATATCTTCAAATTTATATGAACAAGAACTTATAATAAAGAATAATCTTTTCTCATGGTTTATAATAAATTGCTAGATTGTTTGGAATTTTTTATTTAAATACATTTTATGTAATACTGTACTGTGTTGTCATTATTCATAATTTATTTTATGTTATGTTCGATGAGATTACTTTTTATTAGCTTTTGTTATAATTATCGATTACTTGTTCACTATTTATGAAGTATTTGTTTTTTAAATTTCTCATAAAATTTGTTTAGTACAATATATTAATTTCTATCTTAATCTTTTTTCGCGATTTCTGAGCATTTTTAGGTACGCTGTGATTATTCATTACATATCAATTATCAGACTGTTAAACTGTTTAATTTGGAGAACTATGAAAATCGACTGAAATGCTCAACTAATTCCGAGCCTAAATTCCTGGCCTAAATAATTGATCTTGCTTGTTTATCTAAAATTTTAAATTTCCTCGCAAATTAGCGACCTCTCATCAAAATGCGCATGCGTGAAAAGTGCCGCGTATAGTGGAGATGAGTGGAGAAGAAGACGAATTTGACATTTCTTCTCTTTGGAAAAGTGCATTTATTGTATATTAATTTTATTGTATTTGAAAAACAAAAATATTACACGGCACACAATCCTACAATGACGTCGAAATTAATAAAGAATAGAGATTGTGCGGATAAAATCAGAAATGGCTCGCCCAAGCTGCAGGAGGTGTTGCGAGAGGTTGGGAAACCAATGTTTACTTTGTGCTACCTTTAAGATTTTCGAATAGTAATAATACATTATTGCAAAGACATTTTTTAAAAATGTTTTTGAGTGTATACAATTTTATGCCTGTATTCTTCAATTAAACTCGATGTAGCTTTAGCTTCAACAGGCACTGTCAACTTGGTTAAGCTCCGACATCGCAGTGTTGCTTACATTATGTTAAAAACAATACATTGAAATGAAGATATTTATGAAGAGGAAATAATTTTAATCACAATATTCTGTTTGCAGAAATGTCGTCAGAGAATGCGTGAGAAAAGGAATCAATTGTTTAACAGACGCAGATTTGGTTTGGAACTTGATTCGAGAAACGTGCAAGACACATTGACAGAAATAATGCGTGAGGAATTTAAGAGTCTGGCAACATCAGATGACGGTGGGACAAGTCTTACGTTCAAAGAGATCGACGAGCCCTTGAGTCAAGAAGAAGCAATTCAGTTGGAAAATGAAATTATTCACGATCAAGGTTTGATTGATATTGAGACCTCAGATTTTAGGATACATATCAGAATAATTTGTTATATTTTACTATAAAAACTTGTTATTTGTAGTAATGTAGTTATCGATAGCTTGCTGTTTGCAACAATATGCACTTGACAGAAATTAATTCATATTACAAATTTATGTAGAACAATGGATGCTTCAAGAATATGAGAAGATCTCGCAGGATGAAATTGACTTCTTGGCTATATGTGCTGATAACGACAGTAGAGAAGTGTTCTGTCCCATATGTCAGAAAGCCATATTAACAGAAGAAGGTAATTCTGTAAATTGTTTGACTTGCGGGCTGAAATTGACTGGCCGCACTATGCAAGAAGTGAGATATTTAATTAATGAGAGTGTAAACATTCACGCATTCAACTGTGTCAAGGTGCCAACATTCATAGCAATATCTGACAATTTTAATCTTAATTTATACCTAATATGTCATGATTGTTCTACTTTTGCTTCAATTTGCTGATTATTTAAGATTAATTGGCCGCTAACTTTCCAAAATGGAAACAAAATTGCTGAACAATTATTTCGATTGTGAAAATTTATATACTGATGTGTCAGTTTGTTCAAAGAATAAATCATTGTATCATGGTTTGCATTAGAACAAAGTTTTAATACTAATTTTGATTTTTTTTGACGTTGGGTTTGTTTCCAAAAAACTCATTAGTATTATATAAATTTAACATAAGCATACACATACAGCTTAATTGTTGTAATTGATAAAACTCGATAAAAATCTTGTCAAATTACGTTAGATAATAATGAAAAAAAATTTCAAATCATTTGTCATCATGTCAATTGTAAATTAATTTAAGGAAGCATTTTCCAATGACTATAATCATCGAATAATTATGTGTTTTTGTACAACTGATTTTGGTTTCCTCAATCTTAACACAGGAAGATGGATCAGCGTAATTATTTATAACAATAACGAATTGTGATATAGGACGATAGAAAAAACAAACAACAAAATGCAATCAGTTCGGATTTCTTCATGTTATAATATTTGGAATAATAACATGTGTGAATGTGTTTATGATTATATGATACATATTGTACAAAAAACATCCCTTCGATGAGTTCACTTATATTATTTATCACTTATACATGTACATACACGATGTAAGTTTGCGTGAGGGCGTCTATATATTGTATCGTGCATAAAAAAATAACATTCTTCGTGTTCTAAAACAAAGCAACAAATTAATATACGAAATATATCGATATTTAAAAAAGAATTTAGCCTTCAGAGTATTAACTGTTTCGTTCTCTTAACATTGGACTATGTACAACATTTTACATCAACAGAAACGCTACAATATGCAGAAGCCCTTCTGTAGCTTAAGCTATATTCGGTAGTCAAACTTTTTGCAAATGATTTGTACATTATCACATGGATTTCTATATTAAAGATCTCATATTACATAACGGTGTGAACATGTTAACTCCTGAGCAACCCCCTTTTTATCGTCCATGCAATCATCAATTGTATAAAGTATATATTCCTCTTACTAGTTTGTTGTGCGGTATAATTTAACAGCAGCGTTATCAAACAAGTGATAATGTATATTAAGAAAATTATGTACATCTTTACCTTCTTTCAAAGTAAAATCATGTTCCTCAAAAATTTATCTCTAAATTCTTGAATTGTTTTTTTTTTTATCGCAGTCTATGCAATGATATTAGTTTATGGCACTAGTTCCATTATTTTTAATGTTTTAAGTTTAATTTTTTATCATACCATTTCTCTACAAAAGAGAAATAGTCTGAAGCTAAAAAATTCATTTACAGTACAGTGAAAATTTGTTCTGCACTGATCTAATAGCTAATGTAATCATAATTACGCGAGTTATATAAAAGAATCTTTTTCAAAGAAGATAGAAATATTAGTATTGAAACCTAATTATTTTTTTAGCGGAGTGGAAATTATAAATGTCTATACACTCCCACGTTATAACAATCATAAATTTTCTATCTCGAAAGAGATTTCTCAAAGCAACATGGAATGAATCATACATAAACATTTATCATAAGTAATTAATAGAAAATTATATATTACTCTAAATGTAACTTTCTCTCTCTTTGTACGCCAAGTATATGCTTTATAAATCAACGTAAAGATATTAGAATATATTTTTTGATTTTTGATATGATTTTAAGACGCGTACAAATACGTACAATTGTATGAAATAAAGAGGAAGTACGTGAGAATTTGTTTTTAATAAAAAAAATAATTTCTTTCACCGAAAAATAATTACCTGCAAATAATTGTGCCGTATCATCGATGTACTATACATCATGAGTATATATACATATACTTCAGTAAAAGTGTACAATAATATACGTATATATTTTATTCAAATTTTTGTAATATAAAACGTCTTATATCTAATTTGCCATGATAAATTTCACAATTTCAATGTGACGTTGCAAATAAAAAGAGGAATTGCACTTAAACTCTTGTTTCTTCGTTTACGTTTATCATAACCCGATAAACGATTTTTTTTTCTCTCTCATCAACTGACTTAAGCTATACGGTAACTATCATCCCTTCCGTTCATACATATTTGAACCTTGAACTTTTTTTTTTTATACAAACACGTCATTATGAATTTGCGCGTTTGGTCACTGCGCAGATCGTCGACGTTCTGTCCGATTAACCGCCGCGAGTGCTTCTTCGGGTAGGCGCGCCGGATCTGATAAAATATCGGTGGCAGTACATATATACTTTAGAGAGTTCAGAACAGCTGAAAATAATATTTTGATTAAAATAGTCGTACAATTATTTCTTACGCATGTATTATATCATTTTTTAAATATTATGCTTATATTTTTGTAATACAGAATAAAGCGTTTAAAAAGGCACATCTAAATATGTATATTTTAATGCCGAGAAATTTCGAAAATGATATTGTTAAGCGAATCTTCTTAAATTGTTCGTTTCGTTAAATTGCTACAATTTTTATTTTTATTTTCTATTTAGATATCTAAGAACGATAGAGATACTTAGGTGTACCTTTTCAAGAGTCTACCCTGCGTACAAACCTGGTCTGAGGTCGACAAGCGAGCAGTGTTGTTCCACCCACATTATTGTACTCTTGTACAGGTCCTCGATACTCGCAGTCGAGACTGAAGCGTTGAAAGATATCATCAACGGTTCTAATAATACACTGAACTGATTATCTTGTTAAAGAAAACAATTTTCTGCAGTTTTCCGCATTTTACTCAAAGTCAACGATGCTTTGAGAATGGTTATCTTCAAGGAAGACGAAAAAAAAAGGATACGATCCAGAATTTCCAGTTTTCTCGCGTGCGCGTACGTACATATTCGTCAAACATCTCTTTCATCTTGTTGGTTCTATGTCTGGAAACTGGAGCACCCGTTGCAGGAAGCATAGATTGACAATTACTACAAGAGTATTACATCATGAAGCATTTAAGACTATCCTATTTATGTAGATAATCATACATTTAACATTAGTTTTTGCGCACATTATCACATCATACATTATCTCCGATATCCTTTTATTTCGCGAGCGTTCTCACCCTGATCTGTGGAAATAAATTACTTGAAAAATATACCTAATAGACGTATTAAGGCACTCGATCTGATGTCTCAGGCTATCCATTTCCTCCTTCAACTGATTCCTCTCCGCTCGCAGCTGTCGAATATAATCCGCCCCCTTCTGCAGCATAGCTGCTTTGCTGAGTTTTGCATTGGAGTTTTGGCTTAGCTGCGGTATTAGACTGTTTAGCATGTCGAAGCCACTTTTGATGTTGTATCTACGCTTCTGCTCCGCGTGAATGTGGCCGACGCGTCTCTGCTCCTTGTATCCCTGTCCTCTTTCCGATTCGCCCTTGATGTATCCGCGACTGGGTGACAAAGGGCTGCCTATGCTCATAGGGCTGTGTAAAGGGCTGAGGCTTAATGCCTGAGGACTGTGTGCATTGGAGCTGCTGTCTTTCGGCGAGCTAGGACTACTTTGGGACTGGTGCGTTTGGCTGTTCGCGTTTAAGAGGATCTGTTGGGTTGTGATCGGTTGGATCGCCTGTGAGAAAAATATCGCTATGAATCGTCGATTCGAATCAACAGAATGCCGCATTGATCGATTGATATTTCTGTGGCGATACCTGTGGTTGCGATTGCGTCTGCTGTATGCTGGAAGTCTGCATTGTTTGGACTGTCACCGGCGTCGTGATATGTTGTGCTGTCGTCACTTGCGTTATTTCTGTTACAAAAAAATATTTATCAATTATAATTTATTAATTTTATTCGAGATAAAATAAACGGTCGACTTTGAAGTGCCACCATTTTTACAATTTTTGTCTCGAAAGTGATTTATGTTACCAAAAGTGATTTTATGTAATATCAATGTAGTATCAGTTACATTTAATTAATCTTGTGAAGATCGTAATTATGTTAAGAACCCGTTGATACATTTATATCTTTCATATACAGCAAAAGATACGTACTGTTCGTAAGTAAATGCGCAAGTAAGACGTTGTTATTTAGATTTAGAGCCGGATCGCTCACTGCAGATACCAGCGGGGGTGGATGTATCCTGGGCGCCCCCAAAGACGAGCTGCTTCGTGATCGATTCCTTCCTTTAATTTGATACTAAAAAGATGAAATATAATCTTTTCAATAATTGAACATATTTTGACACTTCAATTATTTTATCCAGTGTTTTATAACAATTATTTTGTATAATAAAACAGAATAAAATTTAAAAAACATCTGTTTTCATAGTTGCGCTTATCAATTCAGACAACTTCTTTTCTATTATTGTAAATTCTTAAAAGCATAGATAGATAAATATTTTTTAGGTATTTTATTCTATATAATTAAACAAGTAGATTAATTATTAAACTAATCATTAAATAGACTACAATTATAAATATTTAGAAAACTCGACTCTATTCAATCGATTTTTGTCTAATTTTGTTTTACAAAGAATTAAATCAGCATCGAAGTATCGATCCATCTTGTATATTGATTCTACAATTTGAGATACTGACCTTAGGTACGGCGAAAATCTCTTCCTTCTCTGCATTGGACGTCATTGGTTGAGGTAGCAGCTTGGTAGGATGCATAGCTGGTGCGGTGAGATCCAAACCGGAGGATCTGCACTGCAGCAGTATCTGCGACTGCGACGGTTGCGACTCCGAGGAAACTGATACCACTTGTGGCGTGGGATGCGTCTGAAAAATAAACAACGTCTGTCCAATTCCGTCTCAGTGAACTTGCCGTGACGCCGACCATGTAGTTCGGCTCATCGCAGGTTAATTACCTTGAAACTATTAGCGTTAAATTTGCATTGTTGAGCATTAAGATTGTGTACGAGGTTTGGGAATTTGTAGCACTGCTGCTGCGGCTGTACAATCTTGTAAGGCTTGCTGGCTATTGGCGAGGCAGTCGGTAAAGGCCTAATTGCTTGATGCTGCGTCTGCAGCGTCGCGTTACTGGCCTGCGCGAAGTTGTGCTGCACCGACACCAGATTCTGCACGGCCGCGGCGGCGATCGAGGATATCTGGTTGGCGCTGACCGCCGACTGATCGTTCAGCGTCGCAATTTGCACCGGTGACGGCTGTTGGCTTTGCACCTGCGACAACGGTACCGTCTGAATTTCCATCGCGTACGACTGCTGCGACTGCGACGGGAATCCCGAATTCTGTTGCTGCGCGTTCGCTTGATACGCATTCGGCTGTTGGGATTGCTGTATCACGCGGCTACTCCTCGGCGTCGCCCTGCTGCCTCTAGTCTTTTCCCGCGCGGGTTGACTCGCTGCGGACGTCTCGAAGGTAGGCTGAATAGTGTTGTAATTTTCGTTCATAGCTCTAGATTGAAAAGAGTAAGCATTGGTTACTTTTTAGACTTTGTTGCATGTTAAATATGAATACATGTAATAGTGCATGTTCAAGTTTTACAATCATGCGATGAATATTAGCAGTAGTGAGTTCAAAACTCTGATTGTAATAACAATTATAAGGTGTCTAGCTTAAATAAATTGTTAAACAACAGATCGACATAGAGTTATATTATAATTGTAAGAATAGAATTAAAAACATTGATAATATTAAAGATAATGCACAGAATGTCCACTTAAAATATGAAAAAAAAAATAGAATGTTCTTTACAATATTGTATACAAATTGAGAATAAATTAATTTTTTATATAAGCTTCTTAATATTTCCTATTTACATTCGTCGAAAAAAAATAAAGAGTTACTCGAATTTCAAATATCAAATTTGAAAAAGTACTGAAAAGAAGTGAAGAATTATTTATTTATCATAAAATAAAAATTTAGATTTTTAGAAATACATTTGGAATAAAATTTTTCCAGACAGAAAAAAAATTCTTTGAAAATCTTAGATTTCTATGGTTTCTTTTTCAAGCAATAGGAATCTCGTAACTCTTTGGGAAAGCAATAAAATTAATATATACATACAAGTTATATAAAACAGATATGACATATATACAGCGTGTTCGTTACTTATTATTTCACAATGTGTTTTCACAGTACTCACACGCTATTTCTATACACACTCGCTGCTTCAGACTGTGGCTGAGTATATATCTTGGCGGTATACTGGAGATTCTGCATACTAGCTGCCTGTTCCTCCTGCTGCAGCTGCTGTGGCTGCTGCTGCTGCTGCTGCTGCTGCTGTTGCGAGGCCTGGTTCTTTAACGTTGTCGGATCTTCGCCTATTTCGTTCATCTGATTAATCGGTGTCATCAAGTCCAGATCAGAATAATTAGCACTAAGACTGCTATTCCGAAACATATCGTCCTCCTCGGGTACGGGAGGCAATTTTGAGTTTAGGAATTCTTGAATCAGGTTAAGAAATATGCGACACGTAAGAAACATTATTCGAGCGTAGTCGAGTTATACGAGCATCGTTGTATGAGTATCGTTATACCTTGCAATGGCTCTAGAGTGTCCATAAAATCATCCAGATTTGGTTGCAAGGGACCTAGACTAGGTTGGATGAAGTCCGCTAAACTGGCACCTCGCGCTGTTGAGTCACATTTTACGCATTATAGATTCGTGTAATATTTATAAATATTAGCTATCAAGAAAGATTATTTCCATAATAAATTATTAAAATAACATTTCAAATGTGATGTAATACTTTTTTTCGATCGGTATCATTAACATTTTTCGTTTTCTAGAGATGATTATGTAATACTTTTATAAGGAAAGGCAGTTCTCTCAAAACTGAGATTTGCATATAGATTGAAAAAGCTTGATTTGCTAATTGGACATTTAAAAAAATTACCGATTTCTCGAGGATCAGGGAAGTATATTGGTTGATTTGAGCTGATGGTCGAAAAGAGAGTATCAGTCATCAGTTCCATATAATCCTCATCGACCATCATACTCTCCCCGCCTGGAGCTCCGCCGATTCCACCAAATGCATTGCCCGTACCCGTTCCAAAATTACCGATGGTTCCGCCTCCATTGTCCCAATCTAGCATGTCCATTGATTCCATCTGAACAAAGATTTCGTGCATTATATTCTTGTTATGTGATAATAGGCGAAGAAGCCCTACTCTTTTCTAAGCAAATTCAACGAAGAGACAACGAAACATAAAGAAGAGTTACTCGATTGTATAGTTTCCGTTCTACATTTATAAGACAGCAAGATATGCAGGATATAAAAATATATAAAAATATGTATAATACTTAAAAAAGAAAATTTTTTCAAATGTCGAAAATAAGATTTTTTAATAAATTTTTTATCATCACGATTATTCTTCCAAACAAGAAACATACTATTCTAAAATATAATTTATTAATTATTTGCTGATTATTATATTTCGCATTTTTAAAACGTAGAAATAGATCAATCTTTTTAAATATTTTATCTCGCAAATATTTTTTCGGAGTATAAAAAGATATATTACATACCATCTCTGTGCCATCCTTGTTGGTCCAACCAAGGATCTTGTTGCGGTAGAACATACGCCATTTCTTGTATTCCGCTGTAACGGCCGCGAGCTTTCGTTTCCAGTATTTTCCCTCTAACACCACCGCCTGATAAGAGATACCGCCGATTGATTCACACTCACAAAGACAGTGCTTATTGTCGCACGTGAAAAAAAAATACTTTACAGCT